ATGCAAATCTGTCACTCCATCTTTGGATGCAGAAGCCTCCCTATCACCAAGCCATTGAAAGCATAGTTTTGATCCTTTAAAATGACTTATTCTTATACAAAACAATGGCCTCTCAATTGGCAAGAAATTGGAAAATCTAATAGGATACTTTTAAAAAGACCTATACTCCATCTAAAAGCTTCTCTAGAGAAATAAAGGAAAAATATAGACTGAAGTCAACAGAGGGCATTCAAACCAAAACTTGAATCCACCCCCATTGACTCTAACTCATACTGACCCTAGAGGACAGAGTAGAACTCTTTCCCCCAGATTTTCTAAGGCTGTAAGTCTTGGCACAGAGAATAATAGCCTCATCTTTCTTCTGTGGAGCAGGTGGTGGGGCTTGAACCATTGACCCTGTGGTTAACTCAAAACTCACTGGCATCTAGTGGGGTCCAACTCACAGTGACTCTTTCGGACAGGGTAGAACTGCCCCTGTGGGTTTCTAAGACTGTTAAGTCTTTATGGGAGTAGAAAGTACTATCTTTCTCCCGTGGAATGGCTAGTAGTTCTGAACTATTGATTCTGAGGTTAGCAGCCCAAAGCATAACCACTACAACACCAGGGCACCATTCCACTAGGACTCCTTAAATAAGGAGAGAGACTTACAAGCCCCAGAGAGACTTGAACCCTAACCCTGGTTTACAAGACCAGTGCTCTAACCTCTGAGTATAGGGTCTCACCAGGCGGCCTTAGTCCTCTTAATATTATAGCAGAAGCCTGTAGGCAATCAAGCAATACCTTCTATATTCTATGGGGAAAAACATACTTTTCAATATAGAAACTCGATGTTCAGCTAATCAATTAAATGTGACAGAAAAACGCAAGCATTTTTCAGAATAAAAAGCTTACACTTTCACATTTTCAGCCGACTCATTTGTTCCCAGGAAACTACTGGCAGATGTTCAACCAAAATTCAGGAGTAAATAAGAAAAAGAATAACAAAGGATTCAAAACAAGGGGGGAGCAAAAGGAAATGATAGTATGACAACTGTGCAGAAGGCCAAGAGAACAAACAGCAAATCCAGATGGGAATAGAAGGGAAGGCTCTAGAATGATGATCCCAAGAGAAAAATAGAATTGATATTTTATAGGTCTCTTCAAACAGGAAGTGATATTGAGAAGTGTTTTACAGAGCTGGTAGAGAGGCAAAGACAAGCCAGAGATTTCAAGAAACTATGCAAATGTAAAAAAATGTTAATTGTAAGAAAAATGACAAGCTTTGCGAAAAGAAAAATTACAATTGGCTTAACAGAGGACAATATTTATACACAATTAATTTTAAGGAATATAGGACATACATCAATCTATCAACTCATCAACAACCTGCACTTTTAGTAACTGACAGTCTGATATATCTGAATTTACTTAGGTCTATTGTAGATACTCTCCTGTCTGTTGTGGCCGCAGTACATAAGAACATCGAATGGCCCTGGACAAGTATTTCAAATAGGATGGAGCAAGGAAGAATTGCCAATAAATATTAAAACCTTTCTGTAAAAGACTGCCTGGAAATAAGACATTCCGTTTCAGACGATCAGATCTCATATTAATTACAAAAGGCAGAAAAATACCTTTAACCAAATGATCCAGCTAACATCATGATGTAGCTCATGGGAGGCACCAAGAGGAGTGCATGCAGACACCTCCACACAGTTATCAGTCAGAATGAACTGAAACAAAAAGTTTAACCTAAATCTAAGCACAAGGAAAAATTTAGAGAAAATGAAATTGAGGAATGTTCTGAAAAATAATTTGTCTGGATTCTAACAAACTACTGATGCCATAAAACACTGCAATGGGAGGAGAGGACAGGGAAGTTTTCTACAGAGTACTAAATAAAGAGGCATGGCAACTAAATGCAGCTGTATAAACTACTGTTGGGTGGCACTGGATGATGCACGTAGATGTTCCTGAATTGGAGAACGCTTTGCTGAGGTTATTTTTGCCACAATTAAAATTTTTTTTACATGAATTAAAAAGAAAAAATCCTTGGGCCAAGTGGGAATATTTGGCTGTGGACAAAGCTCGATGTATGTGAAATGTACACTGTGGTTTTGCAAGAGACTGCTCAAATTTGAACACACAGGGAGAATGGCTGGCTATTCTATAGCCATACTACATATTTAAAGAGTGTTTCCAGTTGTGTTGATTGGAGTTGCTTGCAGCGTTTTTAAAAAAAGGTCATTTGATATAGAAATGGTTTTTTCCCTCCTTGTACAGAATGGTTTTTAACTTTTGTGGCATGAGATTCCTCCGAGAAGAAAACTAAGAACTAACTCCTCCCAAAAATGTGTATAAAAATGTGTGGGTCATCGGATAAGCCCACAGAAGAGGAGATAAAAAGGTGACACCCTTCACAACAGCCGAGCACAAATTGAAATCTCTAGGGATCAAACTGCCTAAAAGAACAAAAGAGGAAAACAAGAGAGACCTCAACAAATAGAAGAATATCCCATGCTAGCAGATCGGAAGACTCAATATAGTCAAGATGTCAGTTCTGCACAAGGCACTCAATATATACCGTATATACTCGTATATAAGCGAAGGATTTTTTTCCCCCATCACATTTTTAATGCCGTTTTTGTGGTAAAATTAGGTGCCTCGGCTGATATTCGGGTCAGCTTATACTCAAGTATATACGGTAAATTTAATGCAATCCCGATATAATTACCCTCATCTTTCTTCAAAGAAATGGAAAAACTGATTACCAACTTCATATGGAGGAAAAACGCCCAGAATTTGCAGAGAACTCATCAAGAAGAAGGACACAGGGGGAACCTTGCTTTACCTGACTTTAGTACATATGGTCAAAACTGCATGGTATTGGTATAATGACAAATACTCAGACCAATGCAAAAGAACGGAAAACCCAGAAATAAAATCATTAGCATACAGACAACTGATCTTTGATAAGGGCCCCAAAAATATCCAATAGGAAGCAGATGCCCTCTTCAACAAATGGTGCTGGAAAAAACGGATATCTACCTGCAGAAAAATGAAACAAGACCCTTATCTCACTCCATGCACAAGAATAAACTCAAGGTGGATCACAGATCCTCGAGGTAAAACCCTGTTAGGGCTATCAATGAGGGATGTGGGACCAATCTGAGAACTTTGGTGCAGGGAATACATAGGCTATCAGAAAGAGGGAAGGACACAAATACAGATGAGTCACAAATTGACATGCAGGATATACTGAAGATAAAGCACCTGTGTCCATCGAAAGAATTCACCAAGAGAGTAATAGAGAGCACACGGACTGGGAAAACATCTTTAGCAATGACACATCAAACAAGGGCCTTATTACCAAAATCTACAATACTCTGCTAGCTTCCAAAAAGAAAAAAAACTAATTGCCCAGAGAAGGTGGCCAAAGGACCTGAGCAAAAGTTTCACAAGGGCAGAAATCCAAATGGCCAATAAACATGAGAAAATGTTCCCGATCATCAGCCATAAGAGAAATGTAAATTAAAACAACAATGACATACCATCTAACAACCTCAAAGATAGCCCAATTCAAAAAAATAAGAAAGCAACAAGTGTTGAAGGGGCTGTGGTGAGATATGCACTCTCGTCCACTGCTGGTGAACCTGTAGGTATGTCCAGTCACTATGGAAATTGATTTGGCGATATCTAAAACAGATGGGAATCAAGCTACCATATGACCCAGCAATCTTCCTACTGGGCATATACCCAGAAGAGGCAAGAAACAAATCACTACCAGACATCTGTGCTCCAAAGTTCATCGCAGCGCAGTTCACAATTTCAAGCAGTTAGGAACAACCCAAATTTCCATCAACAGATGAATGGAATAAAAAACTGTGGTACATACATACAATGGAGTACTACACATCCCTAAAAAGCAGTGATAAGCACATAAAGCACATCGCTGCATGGGAAGAACTGGAGGAAATTATGCTAAGTGAAGCAAACCAAGCACAAAAGGACACATACAACATGAGTCCGCTGTGGTAAGCTTAAAAATGCAAAAGGGGCATAGAGAAAAAGCTACCGTATACAAATGTTTTGAGAATGATGATGGAAACAAATGTACAAATCTACTTGACACAATGGATATACGTATGTATGGATTGTGACTAAGAGTTGTACGAGCCCCCAATAAAATGATTTAAAAATTTTGTGGATATGTATATATATTCACAAATCAATGTTAAAGAACAAATTTTACGAGCTTTCTCTAAAAACATGTAACGTGGAAGTTCTTAAGTAGAAATGACATATTTCAAAGTTAGTTATGATACTCATTTTGAAGAAAAGCTTTCTTACCACAAATACTACAACAACAACAAAAACCTGAAATCAGATCCATTGCCTGTCAATTCAGACTCATAGTTACCCTACACAGGGGTTTCCTAGGCCATAAATCTTTATAGGAATAGACAGCCTCATCTTAGTTTATAGAGTACCTTGTGAGTTTGAACTACTAACATTGTGGTTAACAGTGCCTAACTCACCCTACCACCAAGTCTCCAAGGACAGGTTTATTTCGGATTAAGAGCCTGGTCTATTTGTCTCCCCCTATGTATGCAGTGTTCTGCTTGGCAATACTTAGAAACACAAAGTGGAGAAAGGATGTTTCATACACCTGTAATCTCATTGGCAACGTAAATTTACTTTGATTTCTGACAACATGTGTTTTATGAGAGGGCTTCAAAAAGTTCATGGAGAAATGAAATTAAAGAATAACTGAATTTTTCCAAGAACCCTCCGAAACCTCCTCGTAGTAACTGTTCTTTTTATCAACTCTTTCTCTAGTATAAAATCAAGGTTATTATCACCTTTGTAGCTCAGCCTTTCCGAATATCCTATCTCAATTTTTATTTCATTTTGTTTTCATTTTAGCATGTTATTGTTCAGAATTAACTGTTGACAATGGCACTTTAATCATAGCCTCTTCAAGGATAACTACAGTTTTCTATTTTTCCCACTGCTCTTACTTGGGCAGCTTCTGCATGTTCCAGCATCTCTTCAAATTCCTGATATTCTTCATCATCTGGTTCAGCACCTGAGAGGCGAGCTGCCCTTGCCATGAAATATGGAGGAAGTTCTCCAATTGCTGTTCCAACACCCTAAGTGAAAAACCCAGGATATTTAAGTGAGGCTCTGCTCTCAACTCAGTTACATGAAATAAAACAAATCTATACTTTTCCATATCAACAAAAGCATTGTGAAATGCAATGTCTTGAGGGGACAGTATGTCACATTATCAGAAGGACCTGATTTTAAATCTTGGCCCTAAATCTGTATGTGGTGCCTGGGATTTCCCTCAAAAGAATGGAGAAGAGAGTAAGGTTACAGGTTAAGAAAATATTAGCCATGAGTTAATATATGTTTAAGATTAAAAGTGGAAAAAAAGTAATTGCCACATGTTATTCAAAACCTGAACTTCCCTTAAAACCTGTTAAGTCCGTTTTCAATAGTTGTGAAAGTAATCAGAAGGTGCAAACCCATGACAAGTTTCCTTACAGTCAAAAGGAAGTATTAAGTGAACTGAAATGAAACCAATTGATTGTATTTATACCTAGATACCATATTTATTTAGATATTTACTTTTTCTCTCTATAAGCTATAAAGTAAATAAATTCTTTGTAGTATTAAATTAAATTTGGAAGGGAGTAAGGGGCCAGCCCCCACCGCTACTACTACCTACAGGTTCAGTAATGCACAATTGTACGGTTGATATATATATAAAGTCATCAAGAGCATCAGAGATATTACAATAATGTAGTCAGACACATTACATGGTAGCATTGCTCACCTCAGCCCCACTTGGTGGTCCTCATAGGGGGAACCCGGCCACGAGAGCAGGAGCAGCCTCAGGGACAGAGAACCGGGGAGCCTCCAGGCTCCCGAGAGCCAGAGAGAGCTCCCAAGGCTCGGGAGCCGGAGAGAGCCTTTTCTTTATTGCTAACCAAGCATTATATCTCTTTAGTGGGACATGATTACAGGTAACCACACGTCACAGGAAGGGGCAGTACAACAGGCATACACATTGCAGGAAGGGGATCTATGATAGGCATCAGTGTAACAGGAAGGGGATGAGCTAGGGGTGGGCCCATAGGAATGGAAAGGTCTAGGGGTATACATGTGACAAGATGGGTGGACTCTGTATTCATGGTGGCAGCCTAAGCTTGGTCATCCTTGGGTGGGTTTGACCTCTCTGGGGTTTCCTACAAGGAAACAGACAACTACTATCCTTATCAGAAGGGAGTGGGCCCTACTTGTTGTGGGATAAACAGTGGTGTCTGCTTGCTCCAGATGTCTGATAGCTCTTAGGGAGAATGACCCCTAATCTACTCCTGATGACCTCCAAGTGTATAGTTATTCTCAAGCAGCTAAGTCTGGCATATATTTGGGGGAGACAACTTGGGAGAAATCCTTCTGTTTCCCACAATTCTTTCTCTTCTATCATTAAAGCATTAAGAAAGGACAGCAAAGAACTTCTGAGGGGACCAATTAATATTTGACACCTTCTTGGGTAGTCATATAATTAAAAAATACATTCTCTTTAAGCCCACCCCTTAGAAAACAAAAGTTCAGGTATTAATTTGTATGGCAACATGGACTTGATGGTGGTGATGTTCAAGAAGTCCCTAGAGCAGCACAGGAGGCTGGTGGTTACCTTCAGGTGTGTGTTGTTTAAACCCAGTTTTCTGCTCTCTGTGCATAACTATTTTTAATGCCACTGACTATAGCATCTGAGTAAGAATTCAGCATAAAATTCAAGAAAGTAAAAACTTAATTTTTTATTGGTATGACACAAAGGTGCCAATCTCAAATTAATTAAAGAGTCAAAGCATCCAGAGGGGAAAACAACAAGCTATTTCACAGCTGAATCTCAAACGATGGACAGAAGACGTGATGCCTAATCCCCACCGAGGAAAACTGTAGCAGTCACTGTGACAAACGGTGTCACATCCTTAGGGTGTGTTACGGTAGTAAATGTCAAATTATTCTCCAAATACAACTTGATACATGTTACATTCCTTACCTGAGAAAAGAGTTCCATAGAGCAAACATTTAATCAGTAATAGTTATTAATCAACATCCATCTGCTATGTGAAAAGTTTTATACTGGATTACAGTGAGAGCAATAAATGCATTGGTATTGACATTCATCTACTATGTGCAAAGTCTTTTTTTTTTTTTTGCAAAATCTTATTGAGTCCCTTGAAAGTAATACATTTAAAGAATGGTCTGTATTTTTTAGGAGGCTGAAATTTATTTGGAGAAGAAAGTCAATACTCCAGCCAAGTTCATTTAAGGCATGAATGGAGCCCGGCCAAAAGAGCACTAGAGACAATACGTACGATGGGGTTTGGACAAGGCAGCCAGCTGGGCTGTAAGTCTCCCTTTGCTGGCATCAGTGCTGATCCAATCATGTAAATAATTTTTGAAAGGACAAAATACTAAGAAAATAAAAAAATTACGGTTTATATACATAATCCCTTTCTAGCTTGTTTCCAGTATATTGTTATTCCAATAAGTTTTTCATCATGACTGTGGTCAAATTTATAAAACATATGCAACTAGTATAATGAATTTGATTACAGTGTTTACAAAAGAGTAATAGGAAACATGACAATTTTTCCTATCTTTCATATTCGACAAGTTCAATGTATGGCATTTCCCTTAAAACTCTTTCAAAATAAAATATAACTATTAACATCTAAGTGTGTTTCACACCTGTGTCTCTTTTATGGGCAAAGGATTTATGTTCATTTTACTTATCACTTTTTCACCAATAATGCGCATTTTATATAGTTTTTGTAAACAGCAGCAATCTCTGTGCATTTTTTTTGCTAAATACACTATGCACATTACATTCGAGAGTGAGGTATATGCAGAAAATACAATACTGAAGCATTTTAAGCCACATCACACATTCTTTATTCCCTAAGTACTGCTGAGTACTTCAGGAGACACATAAATTAATAAACACAAAAGATGAATTAAAAATAATTCAAATGGTAGCAAGCTGTCTTCAACAAATGAATTATTCCTTAATGATGGATACATGAATATAGGCACATAAAAACAAACAGAATATTTGTTGGAATTTTTTTAAAAATTGTATTTACTTAATGGAAAAAAGGAGGAAATATGGTAAGTCTGGGAGTTTGCTAAGTTTGACCCACCAGTTGCTCCAGAGGCAAAATGTGGCAGTGTGCTTCCATAAAGATTTAGTTTTAGAAATCCCTTAGGGCAGATATATCCTGCCTGATAGGGTTACTAAATGGAATCAATGACAGTTGTCTATTGAATAGATAGTGACCAGAACAAATTTTACATAGTATTATAGTGTTCCAATATAGATACTCCTTTTCCTTGCTGTCAAGGCATCATGCTTCTGTGGTACCTGAAACGTCAGGACTTCCTTCTAAATACTATTCCTTAGGAGAAGTTCCCTTTGCCCGATGACTTCATGAATCATGTACGTAGGTAACATTTACTGACTAGGTATGTTTCGATCCCATTTAAAAGTATAACAATGTATCAAGAAGGTGAGGTTGGTTTTAGAGAAATATGAAAATGCACATCTTACCCACATGCAGGCCTCAATTCTAACTTTTGAGATGATGCTCCACAAAGAAATAGCTCCTTCAGGGCTCGCTTCATCTGGACAAACAATCTGATCAGGATAGGGTGGTTCCGGGAAATTAACCGAATTACATTCATAAGCAGCTAATGTAACTGAAGCTATATGTGGACCCTAAAAGACAAATAAGAAAATGGATTAGAAATGTTAAGAAACAAAAAGGAATCGTCAGTATACATAATTACTTTAGTAATTCTTTCATCACTATTCCAAAGCAACTTCCTCGTGCGCCTATTCCTTTAGGCACAAATTTAGAATACCGCTCTTTTTCATTACTTGGTGAAGTAACCATCTTACACCCTTTTCCAGTTTAATCCCACAGCAAAAATGAAACTATGGAACCAGGATCAGTAAGTTTTTTCTACAAACACTTTTGTGCTGATTTATCTTTATTTTGAAATAATACAAATTAGTCATATAAATAAAAATAGATTAATATTGAGATGCACGATAAAGGCTTAAGAACTCAGAAATCAAAAACCCCCTGCCACTGAATTTGTTCTGACTCACAGTGAGGTTCCTGAGACTGTGACTCTTTACAGGAGCAGACTGCCTCAGTTTCTCCTGGAGAGCAGCTATTGGGCTTGAACAGATGACCTTGTGGCTAGCAGTGCAAAGTCCAATCATAGTACCACCAGTTAAAGACAGTGGCTCCCAAAAATACATATGGGGGCTTCAAAAAGTTCATAGAACAAAGGATTGAATGACTCCAGAATACTAAGGTATCTGCATAAGAATCACTAGGAAGCTGGTTAAATGTGCAAATTACTAAAAATACGCAAATCACCAGTTCACCTACCAGAGATTGACTGAAAAGTAGAGCTGGGAACCATAATTTTTACAACAAAAGTCTTTCAGGGATTCTAATAGGTAGTGAGTTTTGGGAGCCACTGGAAGAATAATAAATTAAGAGTCAGAAAACTGGAGAAGAAAAACAACTTTGGATGAGTTGGGCTCTCGACCTCAGTTTATTCTGCTACAAAATGAAGGAATTAAACTTGTCTCTAGATCTACAATGCTATAATTCTAAAGTAATTAAGTTGTTACTAAAATCAAGTGCCAATTTCCAAAATTCTCAGGTGGTGTAAGACCTAAAATTTGGACACTGTGAACATGCTGCCAGAGATTATTAAAAGACATAAGTCCAAAGGTAGCTGTAGGATTAAAGAAATTAACTCAAATGAGCAATAAATTAATCCATATAAAATATTAAAAGTTGTTAGGAAGAAAAATTAGGTGTGTATGGAATAAATTAATATATATATAATTATATAAGTAAAAAATTCCCAAAATTAGATCCTGTTGTTAGCCATATTAAGTAAATGTTTCTGACTTTGGAGGTTTCTATTAAAGATTTCTCTAACATTTTTTTCATAAACAAGTAAATAATTGAGTACAGTATATGAGTTCCATATAGAAGTGATTCTTTTAAAAGTGCATTGTAAAAGAATTGTGGTTCATGGATAAAATGCAATGATGAAAATAAAACACTCATGAACTCTCACTGTTACCAAGATGAGGCAATATAAAATAAGCTTGTTTCCATGGTAAGCTGAAAAAGAATAATGTTCATAAACTAAGCCACATTGTCCTCTAAATCTACTTGACATTTTAAGTTAAAATAAAAAATTTTAAAACTAAGTTTTACACTTAGCAATGACTCAATTATTAATTAGGTTATTTCTGGACCAGAAGCTTATCATGGACATTTAGCATTTCTCTCCCCTTTCTGGGTGTGTTTTAATTCATGAAAACGCATAAATGCTAAAAATGAAGTTCAAAAGTTCAGAAAAAGTTAACAAGTGCACTTATGATTTTTCTGGTTTTATTTTGAGTTATGATTGATCATGAAATCTACAATTATTTCTTTAAATGCTATGTGCAATTGGAAAAACATAAAGTTTAACCTTCACTGTTATTAGAAACGGCACAGTCTACAAGCTGATCTGCAGTAGAATTTTAGACATTAACTAGACATGAACCCAAACCTAACTTTCATAGATGCTAAAATAATGAGCTTTCTGTGACATATAGGAAGGAAAAGGCTACATTTCCAACACACCAATTTTGATAAAATATTCCAACACATTAACTAACAATATAACAGCGTGATGTACACTTCTAACTTTAGGTGATTCTTGACAAGGAAATCTCCAGCAACTTGATTTGAGAGTGTTTTTCCACAGAAAGGTCTGTTCATTCACACAGCTAAATGAATACTCTTCATATCATGATTCCTGAGACTTAAGAGGCAGATGGATGATTCCTAGACAAAACGAACACTTAAAACTCAACTGCTTGTCTTTGTTCATTCTCAAGAGCCTGTAAAGTCTGTACCTTAAAATTTTAACACATAGGAAATACATACTTTACAAGAGATCTTCAACATTATACCCCTTAATGGTTCTTAAACACAACCACCTTGAGTGAAATAAATGTAACTTTACATAAAAAACCCAAACATCTAAGAAAAACGACTTTAAAGTTATACGTAAAGTTATACTTATTCAAAGTACCTTTTAAGTATATTTTCTAAAAGCGACATGTTCCAGTACTATGCACCGAGTCTAAGACGTCAGTGTGGCCACACTAGTGTAAAGACTAACAGTTGCAGCATACACACAAAAGACAAACTGGCTAGAACAATCATAAAGGGCCTTTCACCAAACCAAAAAGAAAAAGGGTGGAGTTCTTACTTCAGATATAGATAGGAGAGTCTTAAAAATGTTTGTGGGAAAAAACAACGGAAAGAAAATGGAACTTTTCCACGAATAGTCAAAGCTCCCTTGTACATGGTTTAGGAATACGGACAGAGGGTTTTCTGCCAAGGAGCTTGATGAAGTAACTACGACCAGACTTTCATTCCTAAAGTAACCGAGTAGAACACTGGACAAGATGTATGGAACAACTTTGCAGACACTGTACCACAGGCAGCACAGAACTTTCTGGTTGTTGAGAGAAGGGAAACAAATGAGGAATCCTTTGATGGGCCTGGCTTTGTGCCCGGAGACACTGGAGACATTCCAGAGCATGGCGCAGAGGGAGAGCACAGACAGAGACTGGTGAGCTTGCTGAGTTGAGAAAGAAACTTGAGTTCAAGGGAAATGAAGCAGGGTTCAAATGAAAGGATACAAAGAGAAAAGACTAGGGAAGAAATGAATCAGTGTGACCTGTGGGACAATATTAATCAACCCCGCATACATATAATTGGGACCCCTAGAGAGGAGACAGAAAACACTTGAGAGAAATTATGACCAAATATTTTCCAGATCTGTGGAAAAACACCAACCTACAGATTAAAGAAATCCAGTAAACTCTACTCAAGTCCAAACATATAATCAAATTGATGAAAATGAGTGATAAGGTGAATGTCTAAAAGGCAACTAGAGAGAATTAAAAACCACACCCTGTAAAATGCAACAAGATAAAACAATGTGAGAAATCATGCAAACCAAGACAATAAAATTACTGGGAGAAAAAAAGCCTGTAACCTAGAATTTTTTACCCAAGGAAATTTGTTTTCAAAAACAAAGGTGAAATAAAAACATTTCAGACACATAGAAGCTAACTGACATCACCAGGCAACCTGCAGTCGAGGTGGGAGTTAAACATGAAGCCAGGGGAAACCTGCGTCTACACAAAGGAGTGAAGAATACTGAAAATAGAGATCACTTTTCTATTCATGCTAAAATTCCTTTTAAAAATACCTAGTTGGGGCAAAAACTGTAAAAAAAAGAAAAGGTACTTGTAACATATAGAAAAGAAACATGAAAACACAAGATGAGAGAAAAGAAATGGAATACATGATTCTAAGGTTCTAATAATACATATGAAATGATATCACACGCCTGTAAGCATAAGGCCTAGTAGCATTATGGATTGTATCTTGGGCTACTAGCCAGCCACAAGGTCACCCATCAGCAGTTCCACAGGAGAAAGATGAGGCTTTCTGCTCCTGTAAAGATCTTACAGCCTCAAAAACTCCAAAAGGCCGTTCTACTGGGTCCTAGCAGTTTTGCTTTATGGGGTTGCTAGAAGAATCAACTCCTTGGCAGTGAGTCTGTGTTTTTGCTTTTGTTTTTGGTATGTTACAAGGTGAAGATCAGCAATGGAGAGTTCCTCTTAAGCAAATACAACAAACTTCTTCAGTATTTAAGGAACAGGTCTTCAAAGGTTAATATTCCTAACTGAGGACAGTGACCTTTGATTTACGTGAGGGTAACCAGAGGAAATAAAACTAGCTGTTTGTAGCATGGATTGTTCTTCCCCAGCACAGAAGGATCTACACATTCCCTAGTTAGCTTCCGTCGTAGATAACACACATTAAGTACACACAGACCTCTTTAGAGTTCCTTTATTACTGCCAATGCAAGTTCCCTTTAATGATAAGGTTAAGTTTTATAACATGCTTATGATGAAACATCAGGCTTCCAACAAAGTGACAGTATCTCTTTTCTGTTTTGTAATTTAGTACACTCATTTAAAGTAATGTCAACTCAACATGTTAGGTCAGCTATTTGTGACATATCATACATCTGGTTTTGCTTCAGTTCAAAGTTCCATGTATCTGGTCTCATGACCTGTATTACATTATATTTTCCAAAGTTTTGATAATGGAATAGTTTTGCCTCGTCCAAGATAAAAGATGTAGTGTTTGGCCAACCCAGAGTATGTCTGGGTGACAGCAAAACCATTCTGAGATCATGGGGTAGGATTTCTAATCTATTATGAGCAGATGTAGGTATTTGTGGAAAACAGATTTCAACTTTTAAAAAACTGTAGTTAAATAAAAGTTACATTTCTACAATTTATATTTTCAAAAGTGTTACAGATTATGATATCTGTAAGAGCTCCTAATGAAACAATTAACAATAAAAAGTGTCGCAGAAAGAAAAATGTTGATTGGTTGAAAAATGAACTAAAACAGTTCTACAGTATTTTAACTTCAGTTTCAGGAGTAATATATATATATATATTTGCAAATATATATATATATATATATTTGCAAAGAACAGACCCATATAGAAAATGCGTGCACACATGCATGCGCGCGCGCGCACACACACACACACTCCCCCAGCAGAAATGACAAAATTATGTTTAAAAGTTCCACT